CCACCACAGCCTCCAATTATCGAAAAATATCTTCTTACGAATTCCTGATAGAACAGTCATTGTCAATTACTTCATAAACCCCCTAATCAATTTTTAAACAAAAGATCGGGAAAAAATAAATAACTAATAAACCCAAAGAAATTCAAAAAAACTAATCAAATGTAAAAAAAAAAAAAATGCTTAACCGAGCCGAGCCATGCCATAAAGCCATTTTTATATTTTAACTTAATCGACAATATATTTGTTATTATCACATTTTAAGTTTTTTAAAAAAAAATTGAAATCGATCCAAATGGATATTCATATCGTGAAATATCAAATCAAACGAAAAATTGTAGGAAAATAAAATTTGAAAAAAGAATATTAGAATGAGGTTGGGAATGAAAATAAACATAAACAATCACGACTTTACGTTTCACAATTAATGTAAAATTATTTTGATATTTAAAATTTATCGATCATATATTTATCATGGTCGCACTTCAAAGTTTGATATTTAAAATTTATCGATCATATATCTATCATAGCCATATTTATCATGACCGCACTTCAACATTTCCAACAAATTTTAAATCGCTTAAAACGAATATCTGTAACTTAAAATACTAAATCAAACATAAAAAAAAAAAAGGTTAGCTAAACCGAGCCATAAAGCCATTTGGCTCGACTGTAAACAAAACTAATCAAAGAAAAAAAAAACAAAAAATTTTGCCGAGCCGAGCCATAAAACCGTTGGGCTCGGCTCGGCTCGGCTCGTGAACAGTAAAGGCAAACTGCCTCTTTTATTTATGGTAGACATTGTGTATTAATTTCAAGTGTTACAATTATTAACTTATGGGCAAGATTCAGAGCTAGTACGAAGTCGAAGAACGCCAAATTTTCCGAGTGCTGAGATGGATGATTACTCTATGGAGACCAACTCCCATCTGATCTAGACATTTTCTGTCGAATGAATATGAAATTTTTAGATAATATGGTGTATTATTATTAAGACGACGGCTTATGCATCTTACCTTTTGGAAATTACCGCTCAAATAATTTTTCTGTCGAAATAATTGCAATCACTAGCAACGTCACCAATTTTATCACGAAAGAATATAACACTGTCAAAGTTTGCGACTATTGAAAGATCGATAGACCTGATTGCTGAATAATACAAAGAAGACAATATAGAAGAATACAAGTAAAATAGAGTGATTTGACCAACGTGGTATAGCAAAAGTTTGCGACTATTGAAAGATCGATAGACCTGATTGCTGAATAATACAAAGAAGACAATATAGAAGAATACAAGTAAAATAGAGTGATTTGACCAACGTTGTATAACGAAAGTTTGAAATTTTAATCCATTGGAAGCCATCTAATTTGAATCCTTAATCTCCAAAAGTCTAGACTAGACGCCTAGTTAGTTACGGTCTACTTGACATTTAACAATACGAAAAATCAAAATCCATTTGGTCCAAAAGAAGAGTTGGTCTGAAGTCAACAACGAGGCTCAATATTTCAACTGCCGTCATTAACTTCCTCGAAATATTTTGTCAGCTGTGATTACCTCACTTTCTTTACATTATGGTTGACATCATCCATGTTGTCAAGAATTGATTGGATGAAAAAACTATTTCATTTTTGAACTGTCCAATGATTTAATGACATGTGGCAGAGTGTGAAAAGATGGTGTAAAATATGGTGTACACCAAGCACGATTCTTAACTTTAAAAGTTTTTCAAATTTCTACTGAACTAAAGAAAATGTTATCTCATTCATTACTCTATCACATACTGTCTTCAAAAATTAACGAACAAAGTTTTCACACGTAGCCTACTTTTGACGTTAGTGTACGCTAGTCACCGAAATTACAAGTGAAGTGCGTTTTTAAAACAGCAAGTGACAACTTAAAAATATTTGAAAATAATTAAATGGCTACTATGATTTTTAACACCGAATAATGTAAATAAACGTGGAAATTACATGAAAGGAAATTAGTTTCCAATTTATTTTTTTTGTCTTTAAAATGGACCAAATGTAAATGGCACTGAACAAGTGGACAGAGATAGCGTCTGATCTGGGCAGTTAAGTGGGCTGGACCACTAGAAAGTAGTGCCGGGAATGGGGTCCCACTCGTGCAATAGTTTGGGCCGGGCACACGTGAACTTCACGAGGTTAGGACCAGTTTATAAGGACCCCACTTAAAATAATTATTGCCTCGACAAAAAGCTAAATTAATTAAATTTGTTTTTTTCCTATCTTTTTCTTTTATCCTTGTGCAACAGATTCACCACGTTTTCTTGTATAATACTGTATAGTCTTCGATATACAAGTAGCTCAAGATTGCGGATTACAATGGATCTTCAATTACGTAACTCGACCGCAGCTGTTATTCTTTACTCGATTGAGAGAGAACGATGGAATTTGACAGTTATTTATCTCCCGAAAATTGTGTCTGACTTTGATATAACCTTTGAATAAGAATAACAATAATTAATTCTTACACATCTCTCTTTTAGTAATCTCATAAAACCATATTCAGTATAACCTACGAAATATATGGTAATAACTAATTAAATTTATAAGAAACTTTCTTATGCTCTAATTTTTCATTAAAACAAACATTGTCTAAAATCAAAAAAAAGTAATTAATTTGTCAAAGTGGTATAATAATGTAGGTGTAGCTTGGTACAAGACAAAGTAAATCTTTTAAAAGAAAAATCTTAAAAAGAGTCGGAGATATGGATGTCTTTGTCACTTTGAAAACATGCCATGCCTTCACAGTCAAAAGATTAATAATTTTTGAAAAATTATATAATTTCCACTAATAATAAATTCTTCTTGGATCAGAATAATAATTTTTATATTTCTTGATTTATTTATTTTTTTTTTTTTGAAATATATAATTTGCTTATTTTACGTTTGTGCTCAAGGAAATGAGAGTCGAAAAAAATTAGCAAATTCTTGAATACATAATATTGAATGTCGATTTCGATTGATTTTTACCCCCTGCTATGTTTTTAGCTCGACCAAAAATATTAGAAAATTTATTCTGCCTTAATTTTTTGAGTTATGCTACATGTACATTATGGTACACATCCCCTATTGGGAGGAGCACCTGGCCCACATGCACTCCCCCCAATAGGGGGCGCCATATGTACATTATGAACACCATTATGTGTAGCATTATTCTAATTGGTTTACTTTGGCCATGTTTTCTTGAACAAATAAACAAAACTCGTACGGTGTTTCAATAGTTCCTTCATAACATACGTCGACTTAAACATAAGAATATAAAAAATAATTTGTTTTCATTTTTAAAAAATTAAATTTTTAATCAAGATGGTTTAATCAATATGACATTAAAAAAAATGCTTTAGGAACAAAAAGAGGTGAAAATAATAAAATAATTTTTTTATTACTAATTGGAGAGTTCTGGAAAAGTCGCTTTCAACATAATTGGAAAACGTTCGAGTCAAATTTAAACTTAAATAAATAAATTGCAAGTTTATAAAGTACGTACCACTCGGAAAAAGTAGCAAGGGTCCGTTTGGAATTGTAAAAATTTATTTGATCCAATTTTCTCCGTACAAATTCTGCACACACATTTTACAAAAATAGGTTGATTTACTTGTGGGCATGTGTCACCAAGTTTAATTTCAGGTTGACTTATTTTTAAGTTAACTTTATTTATTTATTTATTTTTGACAGTCAGATAATTATTTTCCTTAAATATGTAACTTATTCCGATATTGATCAGCAAAAAATATTTATTTTAAAATTTATTTAATTATAAGTTAATTTACTTACAAATGAATTTTTAAGCTTTTAAATATCACAAATAAAAATATTTACACGTCTCTTAGCTATGTATTATATGCACAATTCCCATTACATATCTTCGACAAATAAAACCTAATATGGGAACACAATCGTTAGGTTTTGTAAGCTAGAAAATTTGTCCCAAACTCAAGGGAAAAGTTCAACAAGAAAATTTGGTCGTAGGGAATGTTGGATTTAGGAGCTCCTTGTGCTGCAATCCCCCTATCCAAAAAACTGAAAAAAAAAAAAATGTTATCGTATCATAAAAACTTGTTTGATCCTCTATAGTGTTGTTTATGATTGTGTTGAAAAGTTTATCGTACTCTCAACATACATGACGCGTATGATCCTGTCAAGGTCTTCTAGAAGATCTTGGCATCAAAGATCATTTTCTCGGAAGGAAAAAAAAAACCCCACTATGGTAGAGCAGAAGATGAGAGTACCTCGGCCCAAGGCCTTGGCCAACTTTCCATCAATCAACACCGAAATTTCAGGAGTGATGGCAAGCGTGACCAGCGGTATGAAAACTGTGAATTACGAGTTTCCACTTTGATGCAAATTTGAACGATGGACTCGATTTGAAGATTAGGGTCGATATGATAACCGATGTGAGAAACTTTTGTTCATACTTTGCACCTTGTGTTGCTTTCCATATACACAAAATAAGAATGAAAAGAAAGAATAAAATGTGCCAAGCAGATCTATGGTAACTCAATTTTTGCCAAACAATACCTTATGCCCTCACCTAATCTAATTTAAAAATAGTTTTCATATTTCTTGAATGAATAGACCGCTCAACCAACCAGAATTGAGATTCAGATCCACTTTAATCACTCACCTAGACAGACTTTGTCTATATGGATAAATCTAAACAGATGATCCACAAACAATAATCACTCCGAATAAAGTAAAAACAAGGATCAAATGTTTAAAATCAAAATAAACTGAGAAAACTTGCATAAAATCCCTTCAAAAAAAAGCAGCCAGGCAGGCTTTTCAGATTGCAGAAATTCAAGATAATACACCCTGCAATTTCCCTTCTCATTCAAGAAACTATTAAACAGGAAACAAGATTTTACTAAGGATAATAACTGCGTTGATTAATTATTTGACAGACGAGAAATCCAGTTAACATTACATTGAAAATAATATTAATTACTGATACATTTTGGAATTCTTATAAATCCTTGCCATCAGAATGAGGGAACAATACTGTATCTTTCATCAGTGATGAAAAATTGATCAATATCAGATTCAATTGCCTCTGATCTTTTGGCGAAACGGCCTTTGATTCTTGGCCTTGTTTCGGCATAGGCCTTTCGGGATGCATACCGTATAGTCTTCTCGAATTTCCTGTTCTTTCTCTTCTCTCTATACCTCAAAACTCTTGCTTCCCTGTTCATTCCAAGAATCTGGGAACCTTGATTTCCACTCAGATCAACGCCAAAAGGGTACGATGATTCCGAAAAACAGCTCCCCTCAGGCACAACCCCGATATCCAATGAAGATGATGAAACCTGAAATTTTGCAAAAAACGAAAACGAAAATAAGAAAATTGTTCACAAACTATATATTTATGTGTGAAGAAAAAAGAAGGTGATGATGGTATTTACACTTTGGCTAAAAGAAGATGTGGCAGTATAGCTGTTGTTGTATGAACTAATGTTGGATCTTGTGAAATCGATTTCGAATAGATTTTCCGATGAATGATCAGTCAATTTTGTTGGGAAAGTAGATTTCATTGTCTGTACAGGAACAACACTGTCAGGTTGCGATGAAATTGGATAATCCAAGTCCAGGAATTGGTCATCGGAAAACAAAAATTCCATGGATTTCATGTCTGTCGTATCAGAAGAATGTTTTGACATAGTAACTGGGTTTTGAGAAATCCAAGGATCGGCAACAAAGCTGTCCTGCGGGGCGAACATGATATTACTAGTGGAGTCAGGCACCAGGAGAGATCCGGCGGTGGACTTAACCAAGGACTCGGCATCATCGTAAAAAGGCACTACCGGAACTCGCTCGTGGCGGCTGGCGAGAGGGTTGGCTGAATGGATGTCACGATCACAGGCGACGCAGAGGGCGGCAGCATCAGCCTTGCACGTGACACTAGCCGGTGCCTGCTCGCACACTTCGCACATCCACACACGTTCATGCCTCGATAAAGACAAGGATTTGTTATTCACATCATGCACCTTTGAATCACATGCCATGCACATAAAGGCTGAGTCCGTCCTACAAAATAGCAGCGCCACCGCAGATTTGCAGTAGTCACAAGGCTTCGCAGCCACATTCCACCCTGCCAGAAAACACTTGGCCCTGGCTGCTCCACCATCTTGTCCGACTCCCATTTTCATACTCTCTCTCTCTAAAATATTTTGGGCTCTCTCTCTAAGAAGGATGACTAGGCTTGTAATTGGGGTTATGTGTAATGCCAATACCAGTTTGTATATCTATCCAATTCAGGAGAGAGAAGAAGGTAGAAAGAAATCCGGTTGCTGACAAATGTGGGAGTGACACGTAGATGAATTTTTAGCCAAGTAAAAGGTTTGATGACACAATATGTCAAGTAATTGTCATATGTCTGTGCCGACGTAGGGTCCACATTTCAGGGCTGTGGGGGTGGATAAATTTGACAGACTGTTCGTCAAACTTTGGTGTGAACTTGTGAAGGGGCGACATGTACGAGTTGTAAAGCTAGCAGTATACTTGTTTATATCACGGGGAATGGAACTCCTCTTCACTTTATTTACCAAAACAAACTTATTTTTTCATTTTTGATTGGAAAATGAATTTGATGCAATATAGAAACACGTTAAAGATATAATCATATGGAGATGGTTAAAAATTTTGCCTAATTACTATTCAAAATGTTGGAGAGAAAATGTAAAGGATCATCTCTAAAATTTAAGTTTTTAGATTAAAAAGTGTAACATAATACCAGATATTAAGATTATGATTTCATCTTAAAATGTCAAACATTGTTAAAAGTGGTAACATAAACTCTTATATGTTGGTCTATATTACAGTATTTAACATGTGTGAAATTTATTCCTTGACATATCGAATAAGATGGTGGGTTATTTGAGCTGATCAAATTTGAAATTTGTATGTTCGTTTTAGTCTTCATAAAATCGAATTGTTCAGTTGAACTTTATAAGCTCGATATCATATTAACATTTGGGATCTATTTTAAAAGATGAAATTTATTAAGAGTAATTCAAACCATTTCACGTTGATCTATATTTTATTATTTAATCGGTGCGGAATTTATCCTTCAACATTAGAGTAGGCAAAGATTCTAGGTTTATGTCTTGTCACATAACAACCTTGCCTATATGTGAGAGACGTGTTGAAAATAATATTTAGATTATATATTGCTGGCTCTAAGCATAAAACTTGAACCGCTGAACTAACATGTATCAATTTCGCAAATTTATAAACAATTTATAAATTGGCCAAACTTCATTTTCTCCATGCATTCCAATAAATAAACAATTTATTTATCATTACTCATTTTTATCTATTTATAATACTGCTTCAATTCCTCCCTAACAAATTAATTGGTAATACTATGAACAAATGTTGTTTTCTTTATTCTCTAATCAAAATTTATTCACCACTTATTTCTATTTATTTATAAATCGCTCATAATTCTTCCAAACGGATTACTTTGTAATACTTGGAACAAATATTTTTTTAAATTATTTTCTCTATTCTCTAATCAAAAATTTAGGATCGAACCCAGGTGTGGTAATTAAATTCAAATTTTGATGGAAGAAACCCAGGTAGCTAATTCAAATAATTTGAATTTTGTATTTTGTTATCATTTTGGTATTTTGACTTGCACTTTTTATATGCTAATTTGATATAATCGTGACACGCGTGTTAGTTAGATTTTCAATTATAAAACTTATGGCTCTGGCCAAAAACTCCGACAAACCCGATATCCGCGGGCCCTGCCCCGAACGGGACTGAGATAATCCGCTTAATCGGGTATTCGGAGCGGGGACGGGGCTGGAAATTTTGTCCCGGGACGGGTAACGGGTGCCCTGTCCAGTTAAATTTTATTATTTTATTTTATTTTTTTTTAAGAATTCAATACTTTAAATGAAAATTTTCATAAAATTTCATTATTTCTAATAGAAAATAGCAACTAAAAAAATATTTTAGTGCTTATTTGAATTTTTTTTAAAAGTTACTAAAAATTTTAGGTCAAATTAATTGTTAAAGAACATTAAAATGGATTTCACAAATTTTATTTACTTTTCGATCAAATATTTCATTAATTTTTATCGAATTCTACTAACATTTTTCTTAAAAGTTTTATGAAACAACCCCTAAACAATTATAAAACTTAAAAGTATGACTGAACCATCTCCCATTTTTAACAATCATGAGAACGTTAATGAGATGAGACAATACATATATTTGTTTCTTCTTTCATTTTATTAGTAGGAATGACAAAATTCTCTGATATCCATTACCCTGCACCAAATGGTAAACTAATTTTGAATATTTTTAGTTTTACAGTTCAAAACATATTTAAAAGTAAATAATAATTTTTAAAAAATATTCAATTAAATGGAACGATTAATGGAGATATTATATTCTCCGCCCCGTCCCTCGAAATTTACGAGGGGCATGGACGAAGATGGCCACTTCCGCTCGCTCGCCCAACCTACCCGAACCCATCGTGTTTGCCATCTCTAATTACCAATTATATTATTTGTTAACTTAATTGCAGCGGTGTCGAAAAGGTTTCAGAAAGCAAATCTCTTGAATATTACTGTAATTGGATAATTTATTTAAATCGTCAAACACTTTTACATGAAGTGGAAAAATCAAGAAATACACGAATTGTTCAGCTCGTGAAATTCATAGTAGATTTTACTATAATTCATTTAAATCGTCGAATAGTTTACCATTAAGTGGAAAAATCAAGAAATATATTGTTAATTAAGTGAAAAACATCTCTGATATAATCTCCGAAACGATAATTTGAATTAAAGCATCTAAAACCTTGATTTAATGTACTTAAAATTGCATTTATGTTTAGTTGAATTAAAAACCCTACTTTCGGTCAACGCGATATTCTTTAACTTATGTAAGCTAAATTGTGTGTACACGTCATTCGGTGCGTATGCTGAAAGATTATATATGGACAATAATACCCTTTTCAGCGGCCCCCATAATTTATTTTGGGTGGGCGTTTGGCTTTTCGAACAGTCGGGGGGAACAAAGTGATTCTTTTGTTGTTTTCCCAAAAAGGCGGGGTAGTTTTGGACAATTTGGACCCACCATGCCACCGTGATATTCAGCAATTGAGATATAGTATCACGTGCTTCGATGGATTTTAATAGGAGTAATTAATATTATATAAATATTTGGATAAGTAATAATTCCTCAAATTATTATAAAATAATAGAAGCAGACACGATCGGATTTCGAATCGAATTATCTGGCTCTTAAGAAATCGAACCAAACCTAGTATTATATTTATTGATGAAACGATTAGTTCCATCTCTAATTATGAAATTGAGCTTATCGATTCTGATTTGATCTTACTCGATTCCTTAAATTAGAGTTCTTGAATTCACTACATTGAAAGAAATAAAAAATAATTCGGCGTTCGATCTGATCACGAATAGGATTACATGTGACTGTTAAGAAATCGAATCAAATGTAGTATTATCTTACAAATAAAATCATTGGTCGAATCTCTAATTATGGAATTGAGCCGACACGTTATGGTTTGGTCTTGTTTGTTTCCTTCAATTAGAATTCTTAAATTCATTACATTCAATAAATTAAAGAATTGCACCTGATATATGATATCACACGCTCTGTAGGATTTTAATATGAATAGAGTAATTAATTTTATTCAAATTGTCTACTATATATATAAATTATTAGAAGTGAACATGATTTTGCATTCGATCTGGTTTCAAATAGAACTCTGTTGACTCTTAAAAATTAGGGATGACAACGAGACCGGTATGGGACGTGTCGGTCATTCTCACCTCCATCCCGTCGGATATTTATGTTACATTACCTCATCTCCATACCTAGTTAAAGCGGGACGGGGCGGCTTCGGGACGGCTTCGGGGTGGACTGGGGTAGGTTCCCTACCCCATTTATCGCTCCATTTATTTTTTCTTTTTTTTTATATCTTTAGTTAGTAAATATTATTTATTTTTTTACTAATTTATTGAAAACAACTTATATTCTCTTTAAAAATGATGATAAATTTATTATTTTTGTTCGACAAAAAATTTAAATTTGAAATTAATTTTAAACGGGACAGTAACAGGGTGTAGACTATGTTTCCGGTACCCTCTCCGTTTACCCGGTTAGGCGGTAATCCTAGCCCCACGAATATCAAGTTGAACGAATTTTTTTGCCATCCTTATTAAAATCAAATCAAACAAGTATTATCTTATAAATGAAACTATTGATTCCACCTCTAATTAAAAAATTGAGCCAACGAGTTCTGATTTATAAAATTATAAAACTAGGCATGTAGCTTCTGAAATTTTTATTTACATAAATAAGAATGAAGAAATTTTTTAAAGTATATTAATAATGAGACGACTTTGCACACAGTTAAGATTAATTAGAATTTAAAGATACAGAAAGCTAGAGTCAAATTTATTAAAACCAACTTTGGCAGGCATGTAGCAATACGAACATGAATAAAGAGCCTGTTTGTTTCAGATTCTCATTTTTTACAGTAAATCAATTCTCATTTTTAACCACACATTCTTCAATAAAATAATATTTTCCATCACATCAATACTTTTTTCTTCTTTTTCAACCACACATTTCCCATCATATCACTATTCAAAAATCAATTCTTCCCCCAAAAATCCCTACCAAACACACTCAAAATGTCACTCCGACTGTTGAAAAATCAAAGTATTTGTTAGAAACACGTTTTCTAAATATAAAATAATTAAGGGTTCGTCTGATTGTAAGAATGGAATTTGGGTGGAAAGAAAATGAATTTTAGGAAATTGAATTATTGAAAACTTGTTTTATTAAGAATTGTCAATTGATTGTGTTTGATTTGTATAATTTTTCACCTGAAAAATATTGAAATTTTGGATCTTTTGGTATTCATTTGACTTTGTTTTCCATGAAAATTGTCCATAAGATGGATAGAATTTGTTACAATTGAGGATAAAATTTATAAAAATAAAAAATAAAAAAATTGCCTGGAAAAGATTTTCCCACCGAAAATCAAGAAAATGCGAGCATGTTGGTAAAAGATGGAAAACCAATTTCATGAAAAATTTAGTCAATCAAACATGAAAAAACGTGGAAAATGAAATTTAATTCCCATCTTATTTTTAAAGTATATTAATAATGAGACGACTTTGCACACAGTTAAGATTAATTAGAATTTAAAGATACAGAAAGCTAGAGTCAAATTTATTAAAACCAACTTTGGCAGGCATGTAGCAATACGAACATGAATAAAATGTCACTCCGACTGTTGAAAAATCAAAGTATTTGTTAAAAACACGTTTTCTAAATGTAAAATAATTAAGGGTTCGTCTGATTGTAAGAATGAAATTTGGGTGGAAAGAAAATGAATTTTAGGAAATTGAATTATTGAAAACTTGTTTTATTGAGAACTGTCAATTGATTGTGTTTGATTTGTATAATTTTTCACCTGAAAAATATTGAAATTTTGGATCTTTTGGTATTCGTTTGATTTTGTTTTCCATGAAAATTGTCCATAAGATGGATAGAATTTGTTACAATTGAGGATAAAATTTATAAAAATAAAAAAATTGCCAGGAAAAGATTTTCCCACCGAAAATCAAGAAAATGCGAGCATGTTGGTAAAAGATGGAAAACCAATTTCATGAAAAATTTAGTCAATCAAACATGAAAAAACGTAGAAAATGAAATTTAATTCCCATCTTCTATGAAATTGAAGTACAATAAAACAGGGCCTAAGAAAAAAAAGACGAGAATGAAAACCCACTCAAATCTCAATCTCCTTGATTGAAAGCAAATGGACCATTTAAAAGAAAAAAAAAGATAATTTTTGTTTTTTCAAATATTTGTCAAAAATTAGTGATAAATAAAAATATTAACCTCTAAAAAATATATATAATTTCTAAAATTTAATGATGGGTAATTAGGTGAATTGTCATTATTTAGTACCAATAATTACTCTAATTTCATAATCTCACACCAATCAATATAAACTACATACAACAGAATCGAAAAACTTCTTCCTCTTCGATCTTTACATTGCAAACATTCATAATTAAAAAGCTCCCCAACACTCACGGTTTCAATCCTCTAAAGTCCGTATCGATGTTTGTATCTATAGTTTGATATATAGTCCATGTTTGGTGGGAATTAAAATTAATTTTTTAGCAAATTTTGATAAAAATGGATGAAATATGTTGTTCAAAAGTTGTGGGACCCAAAAAACGTGTGTTTAAAATTAATTGTTAACTTTGATTTAGATTAAAGTCTAAATTTTAATAGGTATCAAACGGGGACAGTTTTTTTATTTTATCGTTAAAAAAATAAAAATATATTTTATAATCAATGAACTATAACTATAAAGCGGATAAGAAATATATGTAGTCAAACCGCGATTTAAAATCGAACAATGTCATTAGTTTTTAGTGTTAAGAAAAATTTCACACAATTTAAATAATTTAACTTAAATTTGAAAGTCTATAAAAAATCGACCAACCCGAATCACTTACACTCCTACCTAATATGGGGTGTTACAAACTCGAGGGGGCTGAAGGCCCATACTAATTTCCCACTAGCCCATTAAAAGACCCCACTAATTTACATGGGTTAATTGCGAGGCCCAATAAGTATTTTATCAAGTGAAATCTCTACATAAATTCCAAAAGGAAAAATTCATAAATAAAGCATTTACTTTACACCAATTCAAAAACTAAGTTTATAGTTTGAAAATTCAAAAATCAGGTTTTTTTTTAATGAAATAATAAATTATTAAATCAATTTATTATTAAATATTTAATTCTAATATAATATAATATAATTAACACATCCCACCATACCACTCCGGGAACTATTCCGACGATCATTCTGACCATCACTCTTCTCCTGCGATCGTTTCGACGACTGCTTCGATTTCGAAAATTATTGCGGAGACTATTCCGGTCACATATTTACAACTTCCGATTACGGCTCAAAATTTTTGTAGATCACAATTAATTCGTTGGTCACAGATTTCAAAATTTGTTGGTCACAGATCAAAATTTATAGGTCACACAGTCACAGATATCCAAATTAGTTGGTCACAGATTTTTTTTAGGTCACAATTCAAAATTTTCATAAGTCGCAATTTATTTATCGATCACAACTTAAAAATTTAAAAGTAATAATTTGTTCATCGGTCACAGTTCACAAAATTTATAAGTCACAATACTTAATTATGGTCACAAACATCACTTTAATTCAATATAAATTATATTTAGGTCACAATTTATCAAATTCTTGGTCACAATTAATAATTTTTAGGTCACACATCATGTAATGGTCACATTTTATCTAATTCATTGGTCACATATCGTTTATTGATCGCCGACCAACCAAATTAGTGGTAACAAACAACCAACCAACCATGACCACCACTAAAATCATTTGTGACCACCACTTCGTCGCTACCTCCACCAGTGGCACCATTAACATCTCAAAACCAACATCACACCCTCCCAAACACCACTATCACCACCCCCAAAACCACCGTCGCCACACACATCGCCAAACAGCACAAAACACACAACCACCGCCAACACCACCCAAACACGGAACCATGTCCACAACTACCAGATCCACAGCGGCAAGAAAAAACTAGCTACACAGCGGCATCGTATTACCACGCAGTAGCACCAGAGCAGCCACAAACAAAACGACCACCACCGCCACACTAGATCCAACAAAATCCACAATCAAACCACAGTCACCGTCACCACCTTTAAACCCATCTAAAAAATCAACCACCATACCTCCAGAAGTCAAACAGGTAAGAAGCAACCAAACCCTAAACCGTCGCCATTGGATGAATACCTCAAATTGCCCGCGGGGTCGAAGGCGACGAGAGAGAAAGGGTTTGGGGTCGCGCCGCGCTACTGAAAATGCTACAGATGTGGGTCGCACCGTGCCATTTCGTCGATGGCTGACTGTGAGGGGCCGTCGCTACTCGGTTGGGGCGATGGGTACTACAAAGGCAAAGAGAATAAAGTGAAACAGAAAACGACGGCGTCACCGACGAAGCAAGAAAAGAGAAAGAAAGTGCAGAGATCTGGACTTACGCGATTTTCTGGCGATCGTCACCGACGGCGTCATCCACGATCTCGTACAGAAGAGATAAAGTGGAGAGGAGGGGGATAAGCGGCAGCTGCGAGGGCTGCTGAGAGAGAGAGAAGACGAGATAGAGGGGAAGACGCTGTGGCTGCCAGGGTGGTGGCTGCGGCGTTGAGAGACTGGAGGTGAGAGTGGAGAGGAAGAATGGATCAAATGATTTTAGGGTTTGGCTGGATTTAAATGATTTTATTGTATATAGATATAAAAATTAAAATTAAAAAATATTTTTAAATTATAAATTAAAACCTGATTTTTGAAATATTAAACTTGTGATTGGATTTTTGAAATTGGAAATCTAATTCCAGGTGTGGGTATAATTTCCTCAATTCCAAATTCCGACCAGCCTCATATTTCATCAATCCTCTTACAACCAAAGATTACTGCTTTGTAAATTGAAATTTTTTTCTTCATGAATATAAAATAATTAAGCAGTTTATATGTGACTTTATATATTTATTTGTATTCACAATGTTTAAAATAAAATATTAATTTATTTTTCTATAATTTAAATTTTTTTGATTGAAATTATATTATTTGAAGGGAGCTAATCTTTTTTTTTTTTTTTTGGATATTTAAAATCTCCGAACTCGAGTTACATTGGTGAGAATAGGCAAGAAAATGAGAAGTCGAGACCTTGAAGTGAAAACAAGAGTTGGACATTGAAGGACAAGAAAGAAAAGAAAATCATGGAGGAAGAGTGGAAGTGAGTGGTCAACCATCCTTAAGTCAAATATGATAGAAGAAGCTCGTGCGTGAGTATAAGTGCTCGTTGGAAAAAACGTTATAATGTGATTATAATGATGAAGAGTAATAAGTCCCGCCAAATGTCGACATAATTAATGGGTATAGTTGTGAATATATGGTTAAATTATTCACAACCTCTTACGGTGATATTGCTCTATCTCTATACTTGTTTTTGTAACTCAAGAATGATGCTCGAATAATTTTCCACATATCGAGATGACAATGAAACTTCATTTTTGAAGTTTTGATCCTTAGATTCTTGTTTTTTCAAATGATTACTATGTATTTAATTGTCTTCAAATATTTGATCACTTGTTGAGTTGAATTTGTAAGTTAAAAAGGTTTAGCGCATCAAGATTTATCGTCATAAATTCGATAGATGATAAAAATATAGACATATAACATAATTCAGAGATCATAGTTAACAACAATCGAAGTTGTATCAATGACTCCACAGTTATTCTGCCAACATAAGAAATTATTCTAATAATTACTAGCTTAATCTTTTTAAAAAGTACGTACAATACTTTTATATTTTCGAGCAACAATTCTAGCACAAGAATGTTAGACCAAAAGTGTAATATTTCATAAATATAGTAACTCTTAATATTTATACGTTAGTGTAGGGTAAGAGTGCTGAAATTTATGGATTTCTTCTTGAGTTTCTTTTGCTAAATTTTGCATTGAACATGAACATCTAAAATAAACACCAGTCAACAACAAAAGGGGCAAAACCAATCGAGAAAAAACGAAGTTACACAATGTTGAGCAAATTTGTATATCATATTACTGAAATTTAAATTCTATATCCACCGTCTGGTTAAGAAAATGTAACAAGAAGAAAGCCAATGAATGGAATCTCTAACACAAGACATACCGGTAATAGTCAGATTTTTCTTTGATCAGCCTCGACTACAGCAATCATCCCATCCCTTCTCCGATAATTTAGCCACCTCCAGATTTAAGTGTATTACTCAACCTATTTAACAGACATGAAGTAAGAAGAGAGAGACGCGACATTGTATTCAATAGTGACTTACATTTACAGCATGAACTTCTAAAGAGATGCATTCTTCCATCAAAATGAGAAGGATAGGGATGATGTTTCCAGAAAAAAATTACGAGAGAATACTCATTACTACTTGAGCAGATTGGTGATATACGAGATGGAGATAGTGGGATCAGGGTATGAAGTTATCCAGACAGAAGATGTCAGTACGATTACCGTTAAAAGAAGTATGAAAGTAAAAGTGCAGGATTCATATAAGTACAAAGAAAAAATAGACAAAAAAGGGTATCATATCTATAAAGATCAATTAGCTGAGCTTTACCAGTCCAAGCCCTCAAACAGCCCTTCCCCTTTTATGGCAGAAGTTTTGAAAATAGCCCATTGGCGGTTTTTAATCTTGTGCAACTCTAAGGCCTCAGTCACTGCAGCATCATCAAGTGCACCAGGAAGATCCTGCAAATAAGGCAACAAAATTGTTCGCAATTGTTTGTGTCATGAAATGTGTTCATGTGATGTGATGATGGTGGACCTGGGTCCAGAGGGTTTTGGAAGGATGCGAATGGAATGGTTTGAAACAGAAGGTCCAAAGAGTCAGAGAGATCTTCAACATACTATAGTGCCTTTTAGAATACTTTAAAGACAAGCTAATTAATTCTTTCAGAGAATGAGCAAGAGAGCAATAAGACAAACCTGTTTATTTGCAAATATGAGGACAATAGCACCTTTTAACTCTTCCTCCTGCAAGAGCACATTGTCTTTTAAGCTATTGTTAAAGTTGAGAGTAACGTAAGGCATGTGTGTATCAAAAGCTTGTGGCATAACACCATACTGGCAATTGTTCTCCTTCTGTAATGGTCAAAGTGAAAAAAGACCTTCACATTTTCTTTTATCAAACAGGCTTTCTTCTGTGGAAAATGTCAATTTTGGAAGGCTGACAGGATATCTTCAGTTTTCTTTCTTTTCCAAAGTAGGCAACCTCATAAGACACAAAGATTCTGGGGTTGATATTTTGGTTATGTTGATAGATAGCTGTGAATAGCAGCGGACCCAGGATATTTTTTTTGGGTGGACAAAAATTATATAGCAAAAATAATTATAAATAATATAACTATAATTGCTCCCAGCGTGTTTTCATATTTTAAAAACATCGTATAATTATATCATTATCAATTTCGTTAAATATATTTTTCTCAAAAGATAAAATACCACTTTGATCTATTACAAAATATTAACAAGAAAAAGCTAACTAAAACCTTCCAAAAAGTACTTGGAGATTGCACATAGACCAGAGATGAAAATTGAATTTCCAATTCCTTTAATCACCGCTCTTTGAGTTCTAAAATTTCTCTTAACAAATAGTTATAGAAATGAACCAAATGCAAGCAGATTAAAAATGCAACGAGGAAGTTCTAGAACTTAAAATTATTTCAATGCTTAGTTCTATATTTTTGAATTGACGGAAGACGTATAACTTTAGGCAAGAGGTTTAGCTTTAATGGACTCAACAAGTCTTATTTGGTAAAAATCATATCCCACTTCGAGATGTCCTGACGATAGCAAACTTGAGCTTTTCGAGTTGATATGGGTGTATTTGTCGTTCCGCTAATCATCAGCAGCTGAGGCTAAAATCGAGTTATCTTAATAAATATATTTATAAAATCTTGATTTCCCTATGGTCCCTATATTTATTCAAAAAAAAAAAAAAACCACACACAATAAACATCTAATATTTTACTACGAAAATTGAAGTACATAAACTCAAATTCCCAACCAAAAATAAAAGTGGAAACAATAAGATGTTAAGAAGTACAAAATATGGTAGAAAGGAAGAACCTTTTGATTTTCCTTTTTTTTTTTTTTAAATTAAAAACAAGTCAGATTTTTTGGGTGGTCATGCCACAAGTGTAGCTCTGCCCCTGGCTGTTGAATGCTAAGTTATATATGCACAGGTCTTTTGAGCCTGTAAACTGTTTGATGAACTCCGAATCAAAAGAGCTGGGTGGATGGAGGGTTGGGGGAACCCCACTGCCTATAAAGCAATTTTTAATATTGCTTTCTGCCCTATGCACTACTGAAATTTAGTTCACATCACACGTTTCTCCAAAAGCTAAAAAATAAGCCTATGTTTAACAACTATTATTTCAAAACTCTTTATTCAACATAGTCATTTTTAACTACACATTGACACCATAAAATATTCTGCACGTAAACCCAAAATTTTTACATACTTTTTAACCACGCATTCTCCAAAAATTCAATATTCAAAACTTTGTTTTTGCCAATAATGGCCATCAAACAGGAGCTAATTAGCTAAAACTGATCTGTAAGTTGATAATAATAAAGGACACAGGAACAGAAAGGGAAGAACAAGAGCATAAAAGAAGACAGGTATATGGCTTCAGAACTAGCAACACGAGAGAAGATTTTTCCTCTTATTTTGGTATGAAGCATGTCTAAAAGAATGAAGCTACTTTGTACAGGAATAAAAGCATTCAAGAATATAGGACGGACAGCCACAACTTCTATTGTGGTTTGATAATTCAATCAGATTTTTCATCACTTCTCGTGCAGGTCCCATATTGACATTAGAAATGCATTGTAATATGTATGCGACTACTTTAACTAAGCCCTACTTTTCCTTCTCACAGTTTTCCATTCACTTCCAAGGTCCAATCAGAATTAATGCACATAAGATAAGTATGCACAGCAAGCTCCTTTATACTTCAACTTATTTGTTAAACTACCATTATGAGAGTCAAATAACCTAGAAATGTAAAAAAGCAAATTCAACTTATTTGTTAAACTACCATTATGAGAGTCAAATACCCTAGAAATGTAAAAAAGCAAATTCCAAAACTTCAACCACCTTTCCTTTGAAAGCTTTAATAAAGAAAAAAACAATAAAAGTGACTGAACCTCCAATATTGCGTGAAATTCCTCTCTTGCAACCACCAGCCTATCAGTATCACTTGAATCAACAACATAGATTATGGCTTGGGTATTGGGAAAGTAGCACCTCCAGTAAGGCCTGAGCAGCAAAACAATTAGATTGTGAGCTGTTGACGTAGATATAGAAATAGCAATTAATGAGAGTAAAATAATCAACAGACAAGTCTTGGAGTCCCTCACAAAGAGGTGACAGTGATAGAAAAATTCCCAATTATTCTGGCACTAGGCAGATTTTGTTAAAGGAAGGATGAGATTACCCTACAAACTAAGCACACGAGTATCTTCTTCCGGGAAGTGGTTGAACTACTGTCAAGGAAAGCCAATAGAAAATATCGTCCAATATATTTTGACATGCACTACCCCATCTTAACAAATAACACAATTTGCCTTCAAAGAACCTTATTAACCACAGCAGAATCATTTTTGTAAGATGGATTGATCTATTGCTCTTTTCTTGTGCCTATTTTTTTAGGGGTTTTAATTTTCGAATTTACTACTAATGTCTGAGGGATCCTAGTGTTGCGAGTCTCGACTTCGCCACCGCATTTTTTCCCCTTTTCTTTTACAAAACTTCACAAAAAAAAAAAAAGAATTAATTTATTTTAAGGATGATACAGAAAACTAAACTTCAGGATGAGAAATATCAAGTAGATTGTGCAATTTGAGAGTCCACGGTAGACTACTTTTCAACTTTCTCATGTACACCTAAGTTTCTGCTTTATTAATGATATATCTTGTTTCTAGGTACACAGGATAAATGACATAAGGTCATTTTTTCTGTAGATTTCTTAATCTTACATTATTCAATCAATAGACCGAGTTATATTCCATATAAATTGCAACTCTAGAAACCAATTTTTCTCCTTGTTAGGATTATTAAGTCTAAAAAGAAATGGCAGATACTTTGAAGACCAAATACGGACGACAGAGCAATTTAGAGAAATGTTTTACTTGACTTTGTATAGTTGGTTTAAGGCTGCAACCGTTAATCCGATAGAAGGGTTGCCGAATTTTTTATCGTTTCTATCTTGTTTAACATAATAATGCACTCCTTGTGTATTATCTTTTATTTTTGATTTATAAAATTTACGTGATTACTTATCAAAAAAAAAAAATTAAGTCTAGAAAAACATGATCCAAATATATAAAATTACAAATTTACATCATATCAGAGATTGAATACATGAGGAAATATATAGAATAAAAGGCAGAAAAAGGACCAAATACCAAGTTAGGATTGAGTCTAGAAAAATTATATATAATCCAAATATTAGTTATATAATCATAGATTTCATATGACTAGCAGGAAAAAATTATTTGGCTATTACTTTTAATTTCTCTATCATTTCAATGCTTTGTTCGCCGAAAAAATAATTTATGGAACACAAAATGCATAATCAATCAGCAAGCATGACATATGAAACATTATGCAGCATATGCTGTTGTGCTAATTCTCAAGGCAAATAATTTTATATTTGAAAGAGGCAAAGGGCACAAGGTAAGTTTACCTAATACTCGTTTGTCCACCTGCCATTAGCAAATAAAAATACATTAGATGAACACTTCAGAATAATGTCCTTTTTACCTCAAAGAAAGAATTAGCATAACTAACAAAAATATAACGATGGAAAAAAAAAAAGAAACTTGCATATATAACCAGTGATAACAATAAGAAATTTCTTGAAACGAAATAATTAAACAACTAAAGGATAAGCGATCACTTAAGACATGATACAAGCTAAAACGAGCTAAAAATCAAGATACTTAGTCCTGAAAATAAACTGCGAAGTGTTCAAGTAAATACTATTCATGTCAAATCTAAAACTGAACAACCTTGTTGACTCCACAACAACAAAAAAAAATAATAATAACAAAGCCCAACGAACTGTACACATTACACTTTTGAGGGTCAACAATTAAACAAAAGATGCTTGGGATAAAAATGACTAGTGTCAAATATGCTTTCATTCATAGATAAATTTGCACATTCAAGTAAGAACTAAAGAAAGGCTAAGAGAATCATTGGCACATTTCGCGCCCTTCATTTCACCAACAAATAAGTCAATCCAACTTAACTATGAGATATCAAGAGAATAATATCATAGGTTGAATGATGATAAAATACCTAGATCCCAAACTTGAAACTTTATGTTGTTATATTGCACCGTTTCCACATTAAATCCAATTGCTGCAATCAAAGGGAAAGAAAAATAAATAAATCAACTGACCTAACCAAGGACATGAAAATAACAAGTTCCAATTTTTTCCTTCACCAAATCAATATTCCATTTACACCCCTCCACCATCTTTCAGGAAAAAAAAATATTGTGAATCTAAATCATATTACATTATATAATAAATTAAGTATTAAGTAAACATTTTTCTACACAGATTAACTCTGCAAGAAAAACATAACAAGAACCAAATCCGCTATTCTATTCTCCAACATCTAATTAAAAATCGAATTATGAGTAGTATTAGCCGTATTGTAATTAAATTAATATAAATGCAAGGCCATAAAAAAGACAACTAACTGGGAATAGTGGAGACTACTTCACCCATCTGAAGCCGATCTGCATAAATTAGAAAAACAAAAAAAAGAGTATTATGATCATCGATTCCTAAGAAACCAGGAAACATCAGAGGAATTCCTCAAAAGGGCAAGTGAAAAACAGAGAATCATACATAGAATTGTGGTTTTTCCGGCATTGTCGAGCCCCAGTACTAGGATCCGAGCTTCCTTGTTCCCGAACAGAGACGAAAACAACCGCGTAAACACTATACCCATCTTGTCCCTCTCTTTCTTCCAATTTACAAATCAAAGAAAAATTTGGATCGGATCTAAACAAACAGCAGAACCCTCTTAATCCTTCCTGTATATTTCCAAAAACAAAAAGAAAAAGAATACAATTACGTTCACATCAAATAGAATTAAGCTTACTTGAATTGTTTTGCTTATATTACCGGATGAAACGGCGAGGGCCTGCCTACGAGGACGGGGTGATTTGAGGGTTGATTTTGGGAATATATGGATGTTAATGGAGGATGTAATTTCTTTAAAAGAGGAAATTCTGTGAAAATATTTGAAAAATTGGTCGAGAGTGATTTATCTTCATTATGGAATCTGAAGTTTTTGTCAAAGAAGAATAGGGTTAAATCAATGACCATCCAAGCGTAATCACTCGGTTTGATTTTACTTCAACGTGACATCATTCAATTTTATTTTATTTTATTTTATTTTACCTGACCATCCAATTTGGATGGCCATAGTTGAATTTAACCCAAGAAAAATATATACAGAGCATAGAACATTTTAAACAAAAGAAGAAATGTTAAAACAAAAAAAAAATGTCTCAATCCACTCTGATCGGATCGGATCCGATCCTAATAACCCGACCTACATTATTTATGGGTTTTTTTTTTTCGTCCGATCCGATCCTAATAACCCGACCTGCATTATTTATGGGTTTTTATTTTTTCGTTTGTACTCTTTTGTAGGTTAGTCTCCTGTTGACATAACCCACTCTGAACGGATCGGATCGGATCCTAATACCCTGACCCGCGTTATTTACGGGGTTTTTTTTTCGTTTGTACTCTTTTGTAGGTTAGTCTCCTATTTAGGAATATCCGTGAGTCGGTTCGGTTCGATTCTGAAGAGAACCGAACCGACTCAAAACTTTCGGTTATTTAATAAAACCGTCGGGTCCAAATGTAATTATGGAAGCGTTCGGGTTCGGATCTGTTCAGTACCATAATTAATTTTTTTAATATTTAAAGTAACACTACATAAATACAACTAACAACATTTCATTCGTAATTTTGACAAATTAACGTAGCCCAATTCAAAAAATATAAATAACTAGCCGTCCAATAAAATTAATTCAATGCATACAAATACTAAAAAGTAGATATTAATATTACAGTAACACTACATAAAGTAAATTCATTTGCTTCAAACAGTCTGCTTGCATAAAAAAATGAAATATAAATTAAAAGTTATAAAAATAAAATATTTTTAAGTATCAGTAATACTTACCAACTATTTATTTAATTAATTTGCTAATTTATTTTTAAAAAAATAAAATAATTTAATTNTATTTAATTAATTTGCTAATTTGTATAGAAAAAATTAAAATAATTTAATTAATTCGATATAAAAAATAAAACAATTATTTAGTTTCGGTTCTTATTCGATTCTTCGGTTCTTGGTCTAGACCCGAGACCAGACCAAAACTCATCGATTCTCGATTCGGGTACCTGTTGGGGTATTTAATTTATGAAAAATCGTTCGATTCAGGACTTTTGAACACCCCTACTTCTATTGACACTATTCTTTCTATGACATGAACAATTGAATCTGTTTGATTAACATGAAAAATATATCCTAAAAAAGAAAATATTTTCTTTATTTTGAGGAAAACAAAAATCTATTCCACCAAAGAAATATTTTTCTTAAAAACAAAGAAACTTTAGGCATTTTTAAAAGTTGAAAAATATTTTTCATAGAAAAAAATAGCAATCAAACACTTCAAAGTAAGAATTTAGGTGAAAATTGATATTTTCTATGGAAAATAAATGTAATCAAAAACAGCCTTAAATTTATTTATATATTTTACTTTCGAAAATATTGATGCATTGCTACCAAAATTCATATTTTGTCCGCTGAAGATTGAGGATGGAGATGATCACAAGCAAGCACTTCCTTAGCTTGGCAAACGAGGAATTTCCCAATACCTGTGAAAATGCAGTGTCGATGGATCTCGTTGTCTCTCCTATCCAACAATTAGTCGAGAAAGAAAGAAAACAAGTATCAATTTTTTACAATCAATAATTTTATTCATTTGACCTATCGTTCTTACACTCGGTCGACCATTTCAAACATTCAGAGTAAAGTTAAAATGATCAAAATGTCTCTTTTCAAATACGATAAATGAACATTCGATAAATTAATAGTCTCGCTTAAATAATAAAATTCTTTGATCCCGACTTGGGCCAGTGTACTAAGTTAATAACTCCGCTAAATGTATAAGATAATAATTTTTTTTAAGATCATTTAAAGCCCAAGGAATATATAAAATAATAAATGCTTAAATTCATAAAAGTTCATACAAATTCAAATAACAAACCTCTAATTCGACAACATTTTTTTAATGCTCTCCTCATCCCATCAGTCAATGTAGATTTTTTAACTCAATTCAAATGAGACACCATGATAGATAAGGGTATGAAATTTGGAATGACTGAGGATCTTAAGTTAAAGCTAACAACGATAGAAATTATGTTCCATGTGTATATGAAATAATTTGAACAATTAATCTTCAAATATATTAAACTTTGAAACCAATGTATGTAAATTAATGTTTCCTCTTTTATGTAAAATTTTGAATTTCAAGACATTCAATGTTTTTTTCTTCTGAATTTCGTACATATATTATGGTAAAATATAATACAAGTTATATAAATATAAAATACTTAGTAAATACATATTAAATTATCGATAAATTAATAACCCCTCTAAAATAATAATTCTTCTCTTATAGAAGTTTTACTGCATGCATAAATACTCAATTCCTATTTTGTATCTCACAGATCTATGTGATCACATAATTCAACCATCAATGTTGAACTATTGAGCTTAAATTTAAGTGCAAGTAAAATTACTTAATTAACAACATTTTTAACGTTAAACAATTTTCGCAGACAACACAATCATCAAATAAATTATCCACCATTTCCTTTGCAGTGGTTGTGCACGATGCAAATTTTTTTTACCATTCAACAGTCTTATTTTGCTTGTCATGCAGAATGAATTGATACCTTGCATGAAAGTTTCTCATATAGGTATTTCATATTATGACTGTAAATTATATGATATTGCGACCTTAATCTATTTAATTACCTATTAATTAATACCATTTGAATTTTGAAAGAATTCCATATGTTCGTCAAGTTTGAAAGTGTATCTTTAAAGGTTCGTAGTTACGTATTTTTCCCTTAAAATTAATGAGGTTTGACCCATGCCCATGGGTTGCCCACTTGTAACTCTAGGTATCTGGTGATTGAGCTTGCTGATCAACCCATACTGCAGTAACATTGTAGCTGTTACAAGTTGACAACTACACTGTTTTTCCATCTTGTTCCATTGACAATTAAACCTTCCATAGAAACACTGCTCATAGTACTATCACTAGCAAAAACAATCTCAATATTTGAGATCTTTGAAGATATTTAATTTATTTCCCTTCATTAACCTAAAATTTTCACTGGTAATTCTAGTTACAACTTGTAAAAAGAGAACAAACTACAATGACATAGAATGAAATGCAAAACTAAATGTAATTAAGTATCTATAACTTTAGAATTTTAATATATTGCTATAGAAAAGAGAACTGCTACATTTACGGTCATTAAGGGCTGTAACCGTAAATTTTACAGCCCTCTCACATGAATGTGGGGTCCACTTAGTGAGCCCCACATTCATGTGAGAGGGCTGTACAATTTACTGCCCTTAATGACTATACAAGTGCATTTTCCCCAATAGAAAAACATGCACAGAAGAGAGCAACAGATTAAAACAACAGAAACGTGTATAAAACAATTTAAATGTGATGGTGTACATAGCTAAAGTAGGAAGTTATCTATCATATGTTGAACCACATCAGCACCATCAGAATTCAACCAGTAGCTCTTAACCTGAAGCATAAGGAATATAAATGTGAGGCAAATGGAATGAAGACAGAAAGTAGAAATGCTAAATGCACAAAATACATCGAAAGAAATGAAATGATTATATGAGAAGTAACATTTAGGCGTACAAGCATCTTTAAGTGTGTAACTTTATAAAAATGTGATACTGAAACCAGAAAATGAGCAAATTATTACTACATGATGAAAATATAAGAACTACAGTCGGCGAAGAGCTCCTAGTCTCTTGATGATTTCACAAAGATAATGATAAATGACAAGAAAACTTTGGAAAATCCCCGATATGTCAGAATTCAAACCCACACTATCAGCTGACGCACTCGAATAAAACCTAAATACCCCACCCCAACCCACATCTTACACTATTCCAGAACTCATATATTTGACTTTCAAACGAGTTTATACACAACACTCCTACATGATATCTCATACGTAGGTAGGACACCTAGTAACTCAAAATGTGTATAGCATGAATACAAAGAAAAATGCAAAAGGCATGCAACAGGGCATAATATAAAGCATAAACAAATAGGTTTTCCTGAAATGGTTTTAACGGTAAAAATTTGTTTTGCACTAGAATAAAAGGGAAAAAGCAGAATTTACCAATCGTTATCAGTCTACAGTTTACAATGTTATAACAACAGAGTGATTGTGAAAAGGAGATCGAAAACAAGCTATTCTAGACGAACAATGCATCTGTACAGTGGCAAGAATGAAGACCGTATGAACACTCAAAATTACAAGAAAGAGAATAAATATGACAGACTAAATATGCACTCCAACGTGCAGAGGAAAATTTTAAAGAAAGGAATTGTTTTTGAGGATTGGCTAAAATTAATGTCTTGTTCAATCGGAACTTCAACAATTTAACATTTTTCACCAGGTGAAGTTTTGACTTAAAGATAACACAGTGAGTATCACACTCCACACTGGCATCAGCCTGGAAAAATTGAAATGTCTACACAATGAACCCAAAATATAATAATTAAAATCTTGTAATTGCAGGTTATTGTCCTGCAGAGATCATAATTATTGGAATCTTGCCTGAATAGTATTATGAGCAACATATCGTTGTCTGCTTTTATGAAAGCTAACATCGACGCGTTCCCAAGAAACTTGATTGAGGCCTCTAATCATCTCCTCTACATATAAAAGGAAATTTTAGTCAAAGCCAAAATAAGAAATAGGACCTCTAGTTTTACACTAAACAGATGCTGTGATAAGGGCCAATAAACCTTCCAAGTTAATGACTTGCGTTCCAACAGAGGAGGACATTTTGCTAGCATCGTCTCCATAATTTCTTTTTTCAATGTGTGCAATATGAGGATACTTCATATCATTCAAAAGAAGATTCTCCTGTGGAAGACAAGAAGGAAGGATCATCCTATGAATTTCCCTTCATAAATGATGTATGATAAGATCAATTCAGACAATCATATATCACGTAAAAAGAGAGAAAAACCTTTGGAAGTTCATCTTGGCGGCGGATCGATGAAGTTCTCCACCCAACCACATCTTAGTATTGTTAGTAAAGGTAAACATAAAACAAATCATGCAAGTAAGTTATGTAATCATACTGTTACAATAAAAGCAATTTGATCCCTGTAAAGGATACGATCATAGTTTGCATTGGCATATGCCACGCGTCGCTTAAAGGAACGTAAAGCTGACCTACATGTGTGATAAATAATGCTGTCACCAGAAAATAGTAATAAAATAGAACATTTTACACCACCAATATGTAGAGAATCAGGTGAAATGTTCAATACTAACATGAAATGAAGGTCATCTCCATCATTGACCATTCGAAGTAGAAGTGGAGGTCTCCCATCATCATTGTCAGTGAGGAACAAATGCTTTCCAGATCTCCCAGCTATCCAGTGTGCAGTTAGTGATGCCCTTTTCTCCAGAAAAGGAAGACCACAAAGGAGAGGGAGCTAAAGAAGCACAAGTGATGGAAGATGAAATACGATAAGAATCACTATGATTAAATGCATCATCCATACTTCGAATAACGAACCTTCAACCTATAGAAAGCTATCACATTGTGATTGGGAAAAAATCTGAGGTATTCAAAAATCAATATGAAGAGCACAAGTAATCAAATAATGGAAAAATGTACAACTTTATCGTATGAGTACTGACAATACCATCCTTGGGTACCATTAAGGTCGAAAACGAATCTTGATCATTGAGTTAGTGACATAGGAATGAATTAATTCCAAATGTTATAACTAAATGAAAGTGGAAAAGCCCACATAGGGAATAATAATAAGGGTGTGTTTGAACCACATTATTTTAGAAGAATGTATTCTGGAATAGTAGATTAATGGAAAATGTGTTGTTGAAAAAAAAGAAAATGTTATTGATGTGATGAAAAATATTATTTTATTGAATAATGTATGGTTGAAAATGAGAATGAAAATTTTATGTGTATTAAATAGAGTTTATACAGAATAAGATAAACTGTTAAACTAACCTGTTTATGCCCTCTTGAACCCAAATGTGGGGTTGCAAAAGTTATGAAGTTCATGGGTTCTAGTCCAGCAATCCCCGCTTCATAAAACTGGTCAAGGCGTTGCCCGTCAATGATAGCTCCCTCTCTTACAAAGTTTTCAGGATCACTTGCAGATCTCATTCTCATAGGACATTCATATAACCTGCCAATGGCATACCTTGCAACAAGTCCACCCAAGGAATGAGCCACAAACGAAATTTTTTGGACCCCATGCCAACGTCTGACAACATCTTTCACCTGCACCGTGAGTTGCAGATCATTTCAATAACTAGAAAGATATCCAGTATATTTAAGAAAGAAACTGTGATAAACATTCTATTACTAAAGTACCTCTTCAGCTAGCCTCTCACCCATCAGATCAACACCATCAAAAGTCAATCTTGAAGGATTGCACTCGCTACCTACCATCAATTTATGCCAACAAAAATATTGTGCTGCTAATAAGAAACTTCAGCAAAAAGTGAAGACCTGATGTAATATTCAAATCTTCATAATGAACTTAGATTCTAACAGAGACGATTCAAAATGTGCACTTTAGGCAATACATAGGTTCTGTAGTTAAGTAAATACAAAAACTTCAGACTAGAGAAAAAAATGGATCAAAATGGAACTCTTTGCTCAGAAAGCAGACCAACTTTAATAGATATGCAAGGTTGGATCTATCCCACTTTGGGAATCAAGCAAAGAGGTCAAAGGTAGGGCATATTCCATTTTTATAGGTCAACAAAAATGGATAGGGCTTATTGAATAGGATCGAATGGAAGAAGGAAATCAATTCACATTATCTTATAAATTTCTTTTTTCATTTCAGTTTAAAACTTGAGTTTTAGTTATTTAATAGCATGCTATGAACCAAAGGCTATGTAACCCTGATTCTTTAGAGCACTCAATAGCATTGCTAAATGCAAAAGAAGTTTCGTGATGTGATCTAATTCACCAGATAGGGAAACCAAACCAAGATGTACACTTACGATGAACAATTAGTTTATCAGGAAGCTGCTTCACAAACTGGTCAGCAGCATATCTCCAATCTGCAGCACTGAACATGTGAAAAAAATTGAGTAAAAAGTTGATAAATTTGAGTGTCGAAAGATGAAGATTATAGTCACAATCCCCAACTTACAAGGAAAGCTTTCAAGGTACTGTAACATAACCTACCAATGACTATTAGGTTCCATGTATATAGTTCTTAATCTAATCATTTGGGTTTTGAGTTCTAGATATTTTAAATGGAGAAGCATTCTCATCATAAAAATTTTACAATCAAGTTGTTTTTTCAAGAGTCAATATAAATAAAGCATGCAAAGAAGGTAAGTGCAACACTGATTAATAAAACCTAGCAAAGTATGAATTAATAAATAACACAAGTGTCATCACGAAGTTCTCTCATCCTGAAGACATGAACAACTTCCAAAAACTTGAAATAAGAATTTTTTTTTAACAAGTATAGGCAAATAGTTAAATATCCCAATAGATGTCAAGTTCCATGGATAAAAGTTCACAAATTTCGATCGGAACAAAGCCGTTTCAATTGAATCATAATAACCCTCCTCCAGACATTAGTTTCTGTTGACCCAAAACAATGAGCCAACAGATATCAGGCCCACTCTCGCCACGTCAAAATAATTTCGACGTGTTTCTACTAGAGAAATAGTGAGAATGGAGGCAAATTTGGATGCAGGGAGTGCTTCAGGGCGAGAGACAAAGATGTTCGAGCTCCGATAGGTAAAACAAAGGTGATCACGTTAACAATGATCACCAAACGAAAACAAAACTACTAACCAAAGATCTTGCTAGAATATGTGGAAGGATAGAAAACAAAAGGAGTATGGTAGATTATAAGACCATCAACTTATATAATTTTTTCTACTAAGTATATGATGTAAAAATGGAAATACAAACGTTTGTAAAAGAATTTTGTCATATTTCTTCTTGATTCCATATTTGGGAGTTCAAAACATGAGAAGATGATAATTCTAATTCCAATTTTTCCAACCACTTCTAAGTTACAAAGAGGATCTATATATACTGCCTTAGTCGACGAGGTATCTGTTGAATCAGAACCACGTGACCTCGTCTCCTTAGTTGAAGCTTCACATCAACGTTTATTCAGACAATTAATACTATGATAAGAGGTGAGCCACCCTACACAATAGGCTGACACCCTGACATCTTCTATTACAATTGTTACATCAATCATTTCTAAAAAATACTCAAATATTCTGCAAGAGACAACATCAACCTATGAGCATCGGATAAACTAAGAGCTTCGGAGCTGGTCTTCTGAATGAGGGGCTTCAGCTCCTTTCTTCGTCTCTTTGGAAGTGCCTCAGCCCAAGTGTGGTGCTTTGCTAATTGAGGCAGTGCCTCGATATTTGTATAATTTATGTGCATCTTGACCACTTGGTTCTTTGTTGACTTTTCTGTTGACTTTCTGTCCATGTGGATTATTACGTTGCACATCGACTTAGAGCCTCGGAGACGAGGCGTAACAGTTGTAATACCGCTAATTTGGCTTAAAGTTTAAGAAATATGTCAGGAGTTGAACCTAACCACGCAACCTGCAGCCACAGTCGATCAACAGTCTAACTCTCTTCAACTGAATAGCTAAAGAGATAAACCAATTAAAGTAAAACATGATAGAGGAAGGATAAATGAGCAAAATAAAAAGCGAAGAGGAAATGGAAAGTTGAATTACTTAAAAACTCAACATATTTCTACAAAATTACACAAACTGGTTTCCACTAAACACCGGTTCCGTATCTGTAGCCTTTCCTTACAAGATGAAAGTTGCATTTTCCCCAGCAAATTCATAAAAACATTTTAATTAACTATTACAATTGTTTGAAACTAAACGGCGTTGTCTTGTTTAATGCTAAACAACGTCGCATTGCCATTCAAAATTATGTTACTTGTGTTAGTCTTCTTCTCCTTCCGTTTGGTTCTACCTCCCTTCCTTCCCCACTGATTCTTCACATGACAACCCTCCTTACCTTGATCTTGTCCCCAAGATCCACAAAGTGGAAACTGGAATTTTATCCATTCAGCATCTTCCCATGCCTGGCTATCAGGAGAAAGATCTGACCAGTGGACAAGCCATTGTACTAAAGTGTGATTCGTCGCGTCGCCAACCTGGATTGTAAGATAGATAGTGGTTGGTAACCCTCTTCAGGTAGCTGCAGTACTAGCATAGCATTGTTGCCTAACTTTTTTTTCAACATGGATACATGAAAAATTGGGTGAATTTGAGAGCTAGCAGGTAGTGCCAACTGGTAAGCTATTGTCCCTATCTTCCTAGTAATTTGGTATGGGACAAAGTACCTTACGCCAAGCTTGTGATTATGCAAGTGTTCCACTAAGTGCTGTTTGTATAGGTGAAGTTTAAGGAAGACCCAATCACCTTCTGCAAAAGACCTTTTTATCCTAATTTTATCCACATAAAGTTTCATTCTTGCACTTGCCTATAATAGGTTCTCCTTTTAACTGTTGGTCTAATTTGTATCTCTGTTGGAGTAGTTCTTCCACAGCTGCAACATTGGACTATTGGTAAGGTCCTAATGACAACTGGAAAGGTTTGAGTCCATAGAGAGCTTCAAAAGGAGTCATTCTTATGGAAGAATGATAGGTGGTGTTGTCCTACCATTCAACCAATGATAGCCATTTTCCTCATTGTTTAGGCTACAAATAGGTTATGCATCTTAGGTATATTTCTAGGCATTGATTGAGTCGCTCTATTTGCCCATCTGATTGAGGGTGGTAGGCAGAGCTAAGATGAAATTGGTGGCCATTAGCCTAAATAACTCCTGCCAGAGTTTGCTTGTAAAAACATTTTCTCTATCAGAAATGATACTCTGGGGCATTCCATGGAGTTTAAAAACAAAATTAAGAAAGGTTTTGGCTACTGTTATTGCTGCGAAAGGGTGTGAGAGGGCTATAAAGTGACCAAAATTTTGTAAACGTATCCACCACAACTAGGATAGTGTCCTTACCCCTTGAGTTAGGTAACCCTTCAATGAAGTCAATGCTAATGTGGTTCCAATCATGTAAACGCACAGGTAGAGGTTGTAGCAGCCTAGGGTAACGAGCATGTTCCCATTTACACTTCTGGCAAACCTCACACTATAATACTGAGCTGGGCAAAATAGTAATTATTCTGCAAGCTAGTCCTACCAGCAAATTCACAAGAATAACACAAGATTAACCCCGAAAACACAGAGAAAATGTCTCTGAAGTTTAAAGAACTTTATTATATTACGCAATGATCAAAAAAAAATAACAATTCGAAAGGAAAAATAGCGGAATTTGAGGTTGAAAACGGCACACACTGAGCAAAGCTGGGTGCCTACGACGTACGCGCCAAAACAAGCTTTCCGGATTGTGGTCATAATCACGATTTTGATAACCATAACCAAAGTTATGGTCAAATTACCGAAACCCAACTCAATTACCAAAGTTACGCGATTACTTGCTATCCTTGCGCCGATCTGCCAACTCGTGATACCTTAGAGCCATTAACGTGATATCTGACAACAAAGCATCTGACTCGGACCCTCTTACATCAAATACTTCAATCCTTATGTCTTGGTTCATTCCTGGACAATAGAACTGATGTTTTGCCCTGTAAATACTGTTGTGGATGTTTGAATGACCTCCTTCCTGATGTCCATAGATGTTTTGAATTGCTTTAGACCTGATGTTACCTCCAATTCCAATGTACATTCTGCCCTTGTACTTCAAAATACTATTGATGTGACTGAAGTTGGGATCAGAATTAAGGCTTAGCAATAAAGACTGAATCTTATCCTTAGCAAAAACATACTCATTGTAAGTATCTGTGACCACTTGCACCCAGGTAGGAGTCACAGTTGTAATTCCTGAACACTCCAGATCTCCTTCATGCCTCCTGGATAGGGCATCAACCACTATATTGTCAACCCCTCTTTTATACATAATTTCATAACTAAGTCCTAATATTTGGTGAACCATATTTGAGGCAGGGGTGTGGTGATCCTCTATTCTAGCAAGTATTTGAGGAATTGGTCAGTCTTGATAATGAAGTGATGGCCTTCTAAGTAGTGTCTCTACTCACTAACAGTTGTGACCAATGCTAACAGCTCCTTTTCATAGATGAACATCCCCATATTCCTAACTCCAATGACTTTACTCAAGTAGACTAGGGGCTTCCTATCTTGCATCAGCAAAACCCCTATTCCCTTCTGACAAGCATCAGTTTCAATAATGAAAGGTTTATGGAAGTCAGGTAGAGTTAACACAGGGGTTGAACTCATTGCTTGTTTTAATTGTTTTAAAGGTTAAATATGTAGCATCTATCCCCTGAAAGCTATCCTTCTCAAGGAGGTCTGTCAAGGGCTTTGCTATTACTCCATATCCCTTGATAAATTTCCTGTAATATCTCGTTAACCTCAAGAAGCCCCTCAACTGTTTAAGGTTATTGGGCTTAAACCAGAGCTGCATTGTCTCTACCTTGCTTGGTTCAGCTGAGACCCCCTTTTGACTGATTATATGGCCTAAATATTCAACATCTAATTGCCCAAAACTACATTTAGACCAATTTGACATATAGTTGGTGCTTCTGCAATATCTCCAACATTATGTTGAGATGGTGGCAATGAGTGGTCAAATTAGAACTATATACAATGCCATCAAAAAACACAAGCACATATCTCCTTAGCCGGTCCTTGAACACCTCAGTCATGAGGCTTTGAAAGGTAGTTGGGGCATTGGTGATGCGAAAGAGCATCACCTTAAACTCATACAACCCTTAGTGAGTCTTAAATTCAGTTTTATGAATATCTCCCTCATTGACCCTGATCTCATGGTAGCCTGCCCTGAGATCAATCTTGGAAAAATACTCTGATCATGTAGTTCATCCAACAGTTCTTCTATGAGAGGCATTGGAAACTTATCCTTGATTGTTAGGCTATTCAATTGCCTATAATCAACACAAAACCTCCATGATCCATCCCTTTTCTCAACTAAAAGGATTGGAGAAGCAAAAAGATTGTTACGGCTTGTATGATTCCACTCTCCAACATCTCCTTAACCAGCTTCTCTATTTCTGTCTTCTGAATAAAAGGGCATCTATAAACCCTGATTCTAAATGGCTGAGCTCCCTCTTTTAATGGAATATGGTGGTCATGTGACCTAGGAGGAGCAGTTCCTTTGGCTCCTCAAACAACCTTGGGAATTAATGAATAACATCGAGTACCCTCCTAGGTTTATCCTCTTTTCCCTCATCACTAATAGTATACATTTGCTCAACCACTCCATAAAAATTCTTGCTAAACAACCTTTCTATCTCTTCCACTTCCATTATCTTGACAGGGTGTTTTGGCATTTCACTCTTCAACTCCACCTCTTCATTGTTGTTCTTGAATTTAATACATCCTTGTACGAATTCAAAGATAATTGGACCAAATTGGCTCATCTAGTTCACCCCTAACACCATATCACTTTCTGCAAGCTTAAGAGTTCTTAGCTTGTACTAAAATTCCCAGCCTTGTACTCTCCAACGTAAGGGTTGACACACACAGCTTTACATTTCAGTTTGTCACCATTGGCTACCTGAACTGTCACAATGTTGGTCTCATCAGTAGCACACTTCAATTCTCTAGCTAATTTTTCATCAACAAAACCGTGGGTGCTCCCATTGTCAATCAAGTAGACATCTTTCTCCCCTTGGTTACCTTAGGAACTCTTATGGTTTTGTGCTTTAAATCCCCAGCCAAGGCATTAATCGATATCTTAATTATCTCTTCACCCCTAGTTCTCCTTCAGACCTAGAACCTTTATCCTCATTTTGTTAACTTTCTTCATCCTCATCCACCAATATAAAGTTCAGGGACCTATTTTTGCACACGTGTACTATAGTATATCTAACAATCCGGGTATCTATTCCCAAACCGTTAGCTTACGTACTGTTCAATCGGGTGGGCCTATGCCCACTTACCCCCTCACGACTTTCTATCGTGTCCTCCAAGATTTGAACGTAAGATGTCTGTCTAACGAGAGATTTAAGTTGAATCCCGATACAAATTGGACAACTACGTAAGCTAATGGCTTAGATATAGAGACCCGAGTTGTTACAAAAAAATGCACGTTTTTTTGCCCTTTTTTGTAACGACCTAACCTCTATGCCCGAGTCGTTATATCATACGTATTGTATGCTTTCAATTATTCAATTGATACTAGAATTCAACTTAAGTCGCTCATTAGGCAGAGGTCTTGAGTTCGAATCTTAAGGGATGCGATTGAAATCTGTGGGGGGGTTAAGTGGGCAGATGCCCACCCAAAGCGAACAGTACGTATGATATAACGGCTCGAGCATAGAGGCTGGGTCGTTACAGTATACTTCTCATCACACTTGTAACAAAGTCACAAGTTTCTTATGGTTTGAAAGTAAGTAGGTGTGACAGTTTTGTAATTGTTTGGTGATTTATTGGTTTTGGGCCATGGTTCCTTAGCTTTGGTTTCATCGGGGGGTTTTGGAGGGTAGGGATTCCATTTGTTTGGTGAGAAGCTTTTGGTTTTTGGAATCTGTTAATGGCTTGAATGGTGAATTCTTGAAGGGTAGCAACTTCAACAGCTTTGGATAAGGTATTGGGTTTCATCATTTTAACCATGGATCTTATCTCCCCTTTCAATCTACTGGTAAACACAAAGATATAGTAGGATTTTGGAACATGGGGTAAAGGTAGCATAACTTGGGCTTTCGGATCTTCAAATTTATCCTGGTATTAAGCTATTGAACCCATCTGTTTAATCTTGCTAAACGTCTCAATCACTTCCTCCCTAGTAGTTTCTGAAAACCTCCTGCAAAGTTCCTCGGACAATAAGCTTTTATCAGCCTCAGAATGGCTTGCAAGGAATCCATCAAACCATATAGCCTTCCCTTTCAAACACATCTCGGCAACTCCCAATCTAAGTTCATTTGGGATTTCATGGAGTTGAAAATATTTTCTAGCCTTCCTCAATCATTCCCTGGATCCTTCTCCCCCAACGTGTGGAAAATCAATTTCAGGGAGTCTACTATTTCCCTTGACTTCACCTCTAGTATGACACTATTCTCATTACTACTAGCCCCTTGTGTAGATATCACAATACCAGATCTCAAATTAATAATAGACCCTTCTATTCCTTTGCTTTTGTATCCATGACTCGTGAATGCCCAGTCTAATATGCCTACTCTAATACCAATTTGTTATGAGCTGAACCTAACCTCGCAACTCACAGCCACAGTCGATCAACAATACAACTCTCCTCAGCTGAATTAGCTGAAGAGATAAACCAATTAAAGTAAAACAAAACTGAGGAAGGATAAAATGAGCAAAATAAGAAGAAGTGAGAGGAGATGGAAATTTGAATTACTTAACAACTCAACAGATTTTTGCAGATTACACAAACTGATTTCCTCTACGCACATGGTTCTGTATCTATAGCCTTTCCTTACAAGATGAAAGTCGTATTTTCCACAACAAATGTATAAAAAAAGATTTAATTAACTATTACAATTTATTTGAAACTAAACAGCATCGTCTTGTTTAATGCCAAACTATGTCGCATTGCCATTCAAAATTCTCTTACTTCAGTTCAGTTGGTCTTCTTCTCCTTCCGTTAGGTTCAGGCATTAGTTTTAACACCGCTAATTTGGCACAAAGTTTAAGAAAGATCACCTAGCTACCACTGTTTCAATTCAAACTTACTCTCTACTTTTTATCACATGCTAGAAATTAGGTATAAAAGCGCAGGATGGACAATTCAAAATCCGGAGGGGAGAGGAGAGGAAAAAAGTGAGTCAAGCAGAGGAAATTTACTACACCGTTACTTGACAAAATTTCATTTGCAATCATAATAACAATTATGAATCCCTAACCCCCGATTGGTCGCTACGCCATTTATAGCTTAATTACAATAGCAAATGATACCATTTCTAGAAATGTTATTCACAAGAATCACTGTAAAACACACAACAACACTAACTATATTTACCTGCCAATGATGCCATTTACCATGATGACAAGATGGTCTGGCTGCATCTTAGACCCGGCGGCGGTGGCAGCGTCGTCAAAAACGTCTACACCGCCATTAACAGACTCTGCTTCCACATTTTTATCCTTCTTTGAATTGTGCCCTAAGCACCCTCTGCTCAATTTTCTTATCAAATCCATTCTTCCACTCTCATCCACCCACAACAGTCTAAAACCCTTTTTCTTTCTTCGCTTTGGAGTAAATCTTAAATTGAAATCCACCACTTGACAAGAAAATCTTGGAACTGATGAGATGGGTTTTGGGTTTGGAGTAGCATGTCGAAAAGGGATTTCGTTAATGGCGATCATACGAGAAGGCTCAATAAAAAGAGAGAATCATGAATAGTTTAGAGAGAGAAAGGGAATAACAAAGTGAAGATTTTTATGGATTTTAAACTGAACAGATGGAGTGGTAAATACGCGAAGGTGTTGGGTTAGATTTTGTACCGTTATTTGGAAGGTTTCAAGAAAATGAAACAGGACTTTGACAAAAATCACGACAGTTGAAAAACAGATGGTGGTGTACTTCATAATTTGATGAACAATTCCCACAAATTTTAAACGTGCCTTATTGTAATCTGGCACGTGACATTGATTATAGTTGTTTGACTATCGACTCTGTAATTCCTATTATTAAAAATTGCAATTAGAGACAAATCGTTGGCTGAATATTGAAGAATTTTTCTTTAGGTTCCCCATTTTCATTTAAAAAATGGATTAATAGCATAAAACTCTTTAGAAATATTTTCGTCATTTGCAATATGCTCTTTACTTAGTGAAAATCGTGGAAAAATCCCTTTATTTGAAACATTTTGTACAAGACATTCTCTACCGTTAAATTTGCAATTAAAAACATTACAAATGCTAAAATTAAAAAGTAATAGTTGCAATTTTAGTGTCCAAACTTTTTATTTTTTTATAAATTATACCCAAATTTTTTTATGTACAGCCCACAATTTCAAACTTTTAAAACTTTATTTTTCATCCCATCTTACTTCATCTTCTTCCCCAAAACTTTATTTTTTTATTTAATTCCTTCCAAAACCCTCATAAATTCCTCACCCCAAATTCCTTATTTCTTCTTCTCATTCCTAACTTTAAAACCCTCGTACTCCAATCTCCACCCTCCAGTGGCAACCACTACTAGCAGCCACCACCGGCCAACCACCATCACCAGCCAACTTGATAATCAAGGCACTTCTGCAAATTCCTATGTATCTATTGTGGAACTTCAAATTTTCATTAAACCCAACATCAACTTTAGGTAATTCACTCAAAATTTTTTTTTTTTTGTTGGAATTTCTCTTTTGTTAGAAATCTTTCAATTTAATCTCATGAACACCAGCACTCATCTGTTCCAGAATGCCATATTTGCCTCAAACCAATTGTTTTTGCTGGACATGACTGGCCAGAGAGTTGTGCAATGCTTCTAGGGAGGCTCAATTTTTTGGTCGAGAAGAAACCCATCAGAGAAGGCAATTTTGTGAAGCTTTAAACAAGATACAGCCAATTGATCCAAAGAGGTTTTGTGATGAAATGAAAATGATTTTCAAGGAGTGTGTTGAAGAAAATGAAGGCCATATGTTTGGTGAAACGAGAGAGATATGGAGGTAAGGTGTACGGAGAAAAATTAGTTGGGTTCAATAAACTAGCAATTGTGGAAAATCTAGGAAACCAAGTCCACTAGAGACATCAAAAGGTGAAGTCTTCACATCCCCGCTAGGATTTGATTGTGCAGTCGAGTGTGTTTGCACACTTTCAGCTGTAGAATTTTAGTTCAAGAATGCGAATCAGGATCCGATATATTTAGGATTGGAAAGAGGGTTTTAAAGTGTAATCTTGGGAATGAGAAGAATAAGTGAGAAATTTAGGGTGAAGGATTTGGAAGGGTTTTGGAAGAGATTAAATAAAATAATAAAGTTTTGGAAAAGAAGATGAAGTGGGGTAGGGTGAAAAATAAAGTTTTAAAAGTTTGTGATTGTGGTTGATACATGAAAAATAGGTATAATTTGTAAAAGAATAAGAAGTTTAGATACTAAAATTGAAATTATTACTTTTTAACTTTAGCATTTTACTGTTTTTAATGACAAATTTGATGGTACCCTGTTTTTTGCACAAAAAGTTTCAAATAGAAGGTTTTCTAGGATTTCGAATAGATAGAGGGGTATATCGTAAGTAGAAACGTTTTTATGAGATTTTCTGCTATTAACCCTTTAAAAAATCATAAAAACAACAATTTTACATGTTACATGTTGGGGAACATTTGTTTCCATGAGCTTTTAAGATATTGTTTAAGTATATCAATTCTTTATTAAAAACTACATTTTAGTGTTGCACTTTTTTAACGGTATTCTAAAGTAACAATTTATTACTTGTAAAGTAATACATGTGATCTGTGTTACTTATTTTTTTATTTGTAGAATGACATATATGTTACTTATTTCATCATTTGCATGGTAATATATATGTTAATGTTACTTATAGTGACATAATCCACCCAAATCCTAATATCATCATGTTCAACACTATTTTCGAACAGTGGGTGCATATTCACCCAGAACAAATCGAATCGGATTACTCGTCTCCGGCATGCCTCACTTCTTTTTCCCAACCCATACCATTTTCTCAACTCAACAGTCTATTATCTTGATTCACAATTCAAATTTGTCTAATAGCATAATCGTATTACCACCATCATAACCCGACTAACCCAAACTGAAAAAACCCCAAACATCGTCAATCAAAGCCTTCCACCTCCACCACCACGTTCGAAATCGAGCTCGCCAAACACCGCCATCATCTTTCAAATGTCAGCAACATTACTAGAATCAAAGATCCACAACCATCAAATACATAAAGTAAACTCAATATTAATGTCAAATATTCTTATCTACAAATGTGATCGAAAATTCGACAATCGTCACTTACAATCTAAATAACTGATGTTGAAGTTAATATTTAAATTATATACATGTAACTATATCTATCAATTTAAGTTTTTAAATCATGTGATTCAACATGATATCAAAGCAAGTAGATATCTTGAGTTCAAGTCTCGTCGTTACACATTTAAATAAAATCGCGCACGTGTAAAGCTTTTATAAAAATAATAATATTAAACATAGTATACGCGTGAGATAGTGCATTGAAAATAACATTTAAATTATATACATGTGAGTATATCCATATTTTGAGATTTTAATTCCAGTGGTTCAACATTAAGGGAGTAATATCTCAAGTTGTTTTAACAAATAAATGCCCCCAGGGGCATAGGCGAGTTGGTAAGCCCTGAGGTGACGTGGGGAGAAATCCTCCAGCAACGCAGGTTCGATTCCTGACTCAAGTTGGGTTTGTGACATGTTGGCTCTCTCCCTCAGGTCCCTGTCACTCGTGCATATCCCTCGATTTACAACCCGCCTGATCGAGGGGCCTACGATACAGGTGGGGAGTTTCGCTTTCGGGACTTCCTCCTTAACAAAAGATGAAACAAATAAACAATATATAATAATTTGAATTACTTATCTTAACGGGGTAAATATTTTAAAATAGATCTCCTTATTTTAATATGAGTCCATTAAATTTAAACGAGCAATTTGGTTCATCTAAAGCTCAAACAAACCTTTAGATTCCATAATTAGTGTATTTCAATAAACCATCATCTTATGAGGGCATGTTAAGGGTAATATCTCATATTGATTAATGATAGAACCTATATTAAGGCTTTTGTTTACTCTTCTTATTAAAGTTGACATTTTAAGATGAATCCTCAAATCTTAATAGCCAATGACATAATATGGATCATCATGCAATCTTTCCGTACCCATTGTTCAGGTAGAAATTTGCAAGTGGGTGAAATTACCAAACTAGTAGTAAAATGGAGCTAAAGAGTCCAGATTATCGTATCCATAAAGATTGTATTACTTAGCCCCAGTTTGATAATCATATTTTTCAAACTCTTTTTTTTTACATACTAATTTTCAATCATACATTCATAAAATAAAATATTTTATATGTAAACCCAAAATTTTTTCCTACTTTTTAATTATACATTATCCTAAAAATCATTATTCAAAACTCTTCTTTGAAAAAAAAAAAAGAATATATATATATATAATTGTCGAATAGGGGCTTAGTATCGACGTACTTGTAATCCTATTATTTATTTAAATTCATGCAAAAGAATTGACAAGGAAGTTGTTTTTATTCTCATATTATTTTTAGCCCTTGTTTGAGTCGCATTAAAATCTGTATTTTTATTCTTCTACTCATTTTCAACTACACATTTTTCAATAAAATAATATTTTCTATCACATCAATAATTTTTCCTTCTTTTTCAACCACTCATTCTCCATTAATCTATTATTTCAAAATACATTCTTTCAAATTAATGTGATTCAAACACGTCCTTAAAATATAAACTAGGATTAACTAACTAGATGACAATGTTGACTTTCAGATTGAAATGTCGAGAAACTCATG